ACAATTTTTGGTTGTTCCAAACAAAATTTAGATGTTTAAAACAAAATTTGGTCGTTTCTAACAAACTTTGGTTGATCCAACCAAAATTTGGTTGATTTCAACAAAAAAATGGTAGATTCACACAAAATTTGATTGTTTCTTACAATATTTTGTTGATTAAAACAAAAATTTAGTTGAATCAAAAAAAAATTTTGTTGTTTCAAACAAAAATTAGTAGTACAATCAAATTTTGGTTCTTTTAAAAAAATATGTATATTTCTTCTAAACAAATTTTGGTTGTTTCTAAAAAATTTTTCTTGTTTTAAAAAAATAAAATTTGTTTGTTTCTTACAATTTTTGGTTGGTCCAAATAAAATTTACATGTTTTAAACGTCGTTTCTAATAAATTTTGGTTGATCCAAACAAAATTTGGTTGAATCTAACAAAATTTAATTGTTTCAAACAAAATTTAGATGTTTCAAACAAAAATTAGTTGTTTCAAACAAATTTTGGTTTATTTAAAAAAAAATGTATTTCTTCTAAACAAATTTTGTATGTTCCTTAAAAATTTTTTCTTGTTTTAAAACAAAATTCGTTTGTCTCTTTAGAATTTTTGGTTGTTCCAAACAAAATTTAGATGTTTAAAACAAAATTTGTTCGCTTCTAACAAATTTTGGTTTGTTTCGAATATACATTTTTTCTTAAGTATAAACAATATTGAAAGTAAAAGAAAAAAAAAGTCGAATGAAAATTTATCCAATATTTTGACAATAGAAAAACTTGTAAAAAAAATCCTAAATTATTTTGAATATTAGAAATTTGAAATTGTCAGTTTTATTACTATCAGTAATTCCTCAAATATTTGCATATATGGACGTCATGTGAAGTCAATTGATTCTCAAACAAGGAAAAACCACAATTCATTGAAAAATAAAAAAAACCGTTCCACCTTGTCCCACCTACGTCAGTAAATCTTCACCATGATTATGAGGCAAGGATGCAGGGGGACGAAAAAAAATGAGAAATAAGAAATAACACATCAGGAATGTCTTTGATTCGTAACACACAATTTTTGTATTGAACAAACGATGTATATATATATATATATATACGAAAGTGTTATAAACGCCATGCTAAATGCCTACTGGTTACCTAACATGAAGAAATGAGAGAAAGAGAATATAACCGAAGACATGAACTGCTGACATAAACCCAGAGGAGTGACATGATACTTTTATTTTCATATTGCACCAGTTTTACAACTGTGAATGTGGACCAATGAAAGCAACATTTCGCCTCCAACGAAATTGTGAAATTAGAGAAATTGTCATATATATATATATGTACACATATAAAAAGAATGTCACAAAAGAAACAAATTGTGGAAAAAAATTATAAGGAAATAAAGTGAAACCTAATTTGGAAAAAATTGCTCCATTTTGTTGATTTTTCTACATTTATATATTAATTTTGACAATAAAATTTTTTAACATTTCGAAAAAAGGTGATGAAGAAATTTTTTTTGTATTTTTGTTGTTGTTTTTCAAAACTGTTATTGTTTCTTTATTAATTGTTTATTAATTGTTTATTAATTGTTTACTAATTGTTTATTAATTGTTTATTAATTGTTTACTAATTGTTTATTAATTGTTTACTAATTGTTTATTAACTATTTATTAATTGTTTATTAATTGTTTATTAATTGTTTATTAATTGTTTATTAATTGTTTATTAATTGTTTATTAATTGTTTATTAATTGTTTATTAATTGTTTATTAATTGTTTACTAATTGTTTATTAATTGTTTACTAATTGTTTATTAACTATTTATTAATTGTTTATTAATTGTTTATTAATTGTTTATTAATTGTTTATTAATTGTTTACTAATTGTTTATTAATTGTTTACTAATTGTTTATTAATTGTTTACTAATTGTTTATTTATATTTTTCTATTGTTTATTTTCTCGTCAACTGTTTCAAAAAAAAAAAATTTTTTTTCTATTTGCTGAAGTAGAAAGTCAATCAAAATTTCACTAAAAATTAGTCATTTTTAACTAATTCAGAGATTTCAATAGAGATTAGAAAAGATATTTATAAATCAATTGCAATTTTGGAAAAAAAAAATGACTAATTTTTTCGGAATTTTATCTGAGAGAGAAAATTATTTGGCACTAATGTGTTATAAAGCAATTTATAATAGTGCTTGACCTGATACAAAGTTCGAGTGTTATTTCCCTCCCCCCACCCCTCCAATTGAACAAAGACTTTTCAACTGACTGATAAAACTTAATGTATACAATCATTATATGTAAGTTTGTGCGTATGAATTAATTACTTTTTTTTGACACATCTTCATTTTTCATGTATCGTAACTATTTTTTTCTGACATGACGTGCCACGAGCGTCTTCCATGATCCATACGATTTGCTATATACATTCTATATATATATATGTATACAAGAATTATGAAATTCTTATTAGTGTCGAAATAACTTTACTATGATTTATTTATTTCTTTCAAATATAGATGATTCACTGCACTTTTTTTTTAAATTTCTCTAAACTAATAATTAGTAGAAATTTTTACTAATTTTTAGTCATTTTTAGTATTTTTTTTAGCCTATTTGATTCAGTATTATTTTTTTAAATTAAATATTAGTAAAAAAATGACTAATAATAATTAGAAGAAATTTTAACTAATTTTTAGTATTTTTTTAGTCCATTTTATATGGTAATATTTATTTCCTAAAGTCTTAATAAAAATTACCAAAAAGTTACTAAAAATTAGTACAATTTTTAGTAAAATATTACTTATAGATTAATATTTTTTATTAGACAGTTAGTACTACTTTTAGTGAAAAATGACTAATAATTAGTAGAAATTTTCACTAATTATTTGTAATTTTTAGTTTATTTAATTTATTAATATTTGTTTACTAAAGTTTTACTGAAAAATTACTGAAAAATTTATAAAAGTTGTAACTAATTTTTAGTATTTTTTAGCCGATTTGATATGGTAATATTTATTTCCTAAAGTCTTGGTAAAAATTACTAAAAATTACTATAAATTAGTAGAATTTTTAATAAAATATTACTTATGACTTAATATTTTTTAGTAGACTTTTAGTTAGTACTACTTAGACTAAAATTTCTAATAATTAATAGAAATTTTCACTAATTATTTGTAATTTTTAGTAATTTTTAGTAATTTTTAGTAATTTTTAGTAATTTTTAGTAATTTTTAATTTATTTGATTTATTAATATTTGTTTACTGAAATTTTACTGCAAAAATTACTAAAAATTTACAAAAATTTTAACTATTTTTTAGTATATTTTTTAGCCGATTTGATTTAGTAATATTTTTTTTTTACTAAAGTTTTCGTGCAAATGACTAAAATTTAGTATAATTTTTCACTAATTTTTAATAAAATATTACTAATAAAAATTAAATAACATTTAATATACATGAATTATGAAATTCCTTATGACTGTGATTTATTTATTTCTTTCAAATATAGATGATTCACTGCACTTTTTTTTTTCTTAATTTCTCTAAACATATACTTAAAAAATATATATATATATTATAATTTTTTCTATATTCTAATTTAATGAAATGTAAATAGCATATTATATATGAAAATCTTTTCTTTGAAAAATGAAAAAGAAGAAGTAGAAGAAAAAAAAAGAAGAAAAGAGTAGCGGGAATGATATGATAATTTGTGACATTCCGTATAAGAAAAGGGTCTTCTTTGTCGGTATGAAGTAACATCCGGTGCATGTACGTTTGATAACTTCTTGCATTTAAATTTTTCAGTTAAAAATAAATAAACATGCAATTGCATTAAAGTTGAAAAAATAAAACTTAAAAAAAAATTGGAAAAATATAAAAACAAAAAAAAATTATTTTTTTAATCTTAAAATTTTGTTATTTAATTTAATTTATTTTGAAAAAAATAATACCGAATAAAATGATAATATAATAAATTCTTATTATATATTCAAATAAGAATTTAAAGAAATTTTTTTTAATTTATCGTATTTTTTAAAATTACTCCCGTTTATCATTTTGCATAATTAGAATCTTCTCATGATAATCGGAATAAATTCAATTTCTCAACGGATAAATAATTAAGAAAAGAGTTATTAATATCGTCAAAAGTCAAAGAGTTCAAAGTGAAAATATTTATTTATTATTTCAAATTTTGAAAAAAAATACACTTTTTAAAGAAATTTTTTATTTAATACATCTTTTTTTACTTTTTAAATATTATAATTATAATTAATAATATATAATATTTATTACCTATTATTTATTTATTACCATTTGTATATTATTTGTTTATAATTTAATAATAATTTTTATTCTTTGTGACACTCCACGAGAAAAGGGACCTTAGAGACAAAAAAAATTTTAGGTTATGTTACTGATTTTTAGATTGAAAATACACAATTTTGAATAAAAACCACCTGCTATTTATGTCTTTATTCGATTCAAAAATATTCAATAAAAATTAATTTTGATTTTACATTATTTATAAATTAACGTTTAATCAAACTAAAATTATCACTTAACATAACCTACAAATTTTTTTTGCCTATAAGGTCCCTTTTCTTGTGGAGCGTCACAAATAATAAAAATTGTAATTAAACTATAAACAAATAATAAGAAATAATAAACAAATAGTAAAAACAAATAATAATAATAAATATTATATATTATTAATTATAATTATAATATTTAAAAAGTTGAAAAAAAAATTATTAAATAAAAAATTCACCGTCACTTAAAATATAACGGAAAAGTGATAAAAAAATAATACAAAAAAAATTGGCTTGAAAAAAATTTCGGGAGCAACAATTTTCATCATCATCATCATCATCATCATCATTGAATTCCTCTCACTTTCGAGGATCAGCGAACCAGAGATAATTTAAATGAATCACTGCGAAGCACACGTTGACGCGTGTGCTAACGTACTTTCTTTTGAATGTCCACTGACTCAAAAATTTCTTACCTCTTAAATCTCCTTCAGTTCCTTGTAGAGACTAAGTTATTGTTTCCTGGAAATTTGTCGTTAAATTTCTTCTTCTTCTTCTTCTTCTTCTTCTTCTTCTTCTTCTTCTTCTTCTTCTTCTTCTTTTTCTCACAAGATTATTATTCCCTCCTCGAAAAATTGTCCTTGAAAAATTTGATTTCAAATTTATCCTCAAATTTTATTTCTCGTATATTATTTATCCTGGGATATTTTTATCAAAAAAATTCTTGAACAGAATAAAGGAAATATTTTTTGTTAAAAATTTATTCTCTTTTTTTTGGGGAGGAATTTTAAGGACGTAACCCCAAGGAAAAAAAAATTTTTTTTTTTGTAGATAAATGAAGGAATTTTTTTTTTAGAGAATTTATATAGCCTTAAAAGGTGTCAAGAATTTTTATTTAGAAAAAAAAAAATTTATTCTTTTAAAATAAAAACAAAATTTTATATATTTTAGATTTTCTAAAAAAAATATTTTTATACAAAAATACTTTAGATTTTCTACAAAAAAATATTTTTTGCAAATACTTTAGATTTTCTATAAAAAAAAAATATTTAAAATTTGTTGCAGAGAAGACACTTTAAGGAAATGTTTTTTCATCAAAGAAGATGATTTATCATTACAGCAAGAAATATTAGGCAAAATCCTGAAGAAATTAAAAAAAAAAAATTTATTTTTAAAGAAAAAAATTTATTTTTTATTAAATAAGATCTTTGAAAAAAATATTAAGACAAAAAACGTTGATAATGAAAAGTTAAAAAGAAGCAATATCCTTTTTTAAAAAAACTGAAACTTATTATCCTTGATATTTATTTCTTTTTTATTTATTATTTAATCCTTAAAATAAGAAAAATCCCATTTTTCGAAAAAAACTATCCTCAAATTTCCCAAAATTCAAAATAAATTTTGAAGATAAAATCAAATTAATTAATTAAATTACAAATTCACGAACTTTAATGGTTCTTTAGTGAAAAAAAATTTTGGGATCAATTTTTTTTTAAAAATGTGAATTTTGAAAAAAAAATTTCTTCGGGTTTAGGTAGGGTTTGGGGGGTGGATGGGGGGGGTGAAGAAATCCTTAAGAGAAAAATCCTTGGGGTTGCGATATCCTTAATATCCTCAGAGGGGCACTTTTAATTCTTAGAAGGACATTCGAGTCCTTTTAAGAGTGGATTGATTTCAAAACCGGTAGCACTTTGCGCGCAAAGACTAATTCTCACCGGATATCGATCTTGGATCGAAGACACGATACGAATCTATCACAGTCTGAGGTTGAGTTAGGACTGTGGTTCGAACTGCCACCACATGCCTTCCTCTCTCGTGGACAGCCAGCGGTATACTCAGAGTAGACGTCCCCACTATATACGAGGGAATGTAGGTGTGTGTAATCTTTCTTTCTTTCTTTCATTCTTTTTTTTTTTTTTTTTTTCTTTTTTTAAAAGAAACCAGAGGAATCGCTTGAAAACCGGTGAAATTGAGAAGCTTTGATGACTCCCTGGGAAATAATCTCAATACTTCTCTAATGCAATTCATAAAAAAAAAATGAAGAGGGGGGAAGTGATAATTTTTTTTGTCAAAAACTATAAATACTGATTACAGAGTTTTTTTTTTCAAATTCTCCTTATCTTGATGAACTCGTTTTTGTTTAGAAAAAAAAATGACCCTTTATTTATCTCTCTGTTATATAAAATGTCTTTTATTGTGGGAAATAATTTTATCGGAAATTTTTTTTTTGGAATTTTTAAAAAATAATTATTTTTTAAAATTTTGTAAGTTATATTTATTTAAATTTTTTAGTAGGAAATTTTCTGTAAACAATAATGTATTTTTAAGTGAATTTTACTTTTTTTTTTATTTAATAAATTTTATTTGATTCAAATAATCGATTACTGGACTATTAGCAAATAAATATATTTCCTTGAATCAAGTAATTTTTAATTTTGTCAATTTTTTATTTTCTTTCAAATACAGAAATTATTTGATTAAAATAACAATTATTTCATATAAATAAATATTTATTTGATACAACTAAATATTAACTTGCTACAAATAAATATTTATTTGATACAACTAAATATTTACTTAATACAACTAAATATTTATTTGATATAACTAAATATTTATTTGATACAACTAAATATTTAGTTTATACAACTAAATATTTATTTGATACAACTAAATATTTACTTAATACAACTAAATATTTATTTGATATAACTAAATATTTATTTGATACAACTAAATATTTAGTTTATACAACTAAATATTTATTTGATACAACTAAATATTTATTTAATAATAGTCAAGTAACAAATTATTTGAATCAAATACATTTTTCATCTTTTTTGTAAATTGATAATTCGATAGAATAGTTTCAAAAATAATTTTAATTGCAATAATTAAAAAAAACAATGATTTATTTAAAAAAAAAAAAAATTTTCTTTTAAATAAAAATTCCAAACAATTTAAACATTTGATGGATAATAATATACTTATATTTTTCCACAAAAGTTTAAGTCGGATAATTCTATTTCTCTAATTTTAAACTTTAGGGGAATATAAATACTTAGGGAAATTATGACGTCATTGAGAAACATATGTTCTTAAATAGTACTTAAGTACTTTACTGTATTTACAGTTAAATAACAATAAAAAATGGTTATTATTATTATTATTATTATTATTAAATTATTAAAATAATTATTCAAAAACTTAATAACAATTTAGATTCAGAAATTGTTTAAAATATTTTATATTTTTAAATAACTGAAATGGTATTTATAAAATATTTTTTTTTTTTTTTGAATAACAGTCATTTTTGAAGATCTCTGAAACTTTTCAAACAAATGTTAGTAACGACTGACGGTTCAAAAAATGAATGAAAGTCTCTTCTAAGATGAATAATATGATAGATTAGTTGCTTAGGGAGGATAAGAATCATGCTTCTTTGGATTATGGACCTGAAATTTGAAAATATTTTTAAATAAGCTTAGGTCGAGAAATTCTCTGACTTCTGATCTTATTTTGAAATCTTAAAAATATATTTATATATATATATATTTATTTTCTCAAAATATATTTTTATAGTCGAATTTAAAAATTGATAAACAATAAATTATTATTAATGTCACAAAAATTTATTAATAATTATGTATAAAAATAAATATTTTTTATAATTTATAATACCTATTTTTATTTTTTAATATACTTTATAATAAGTACAATTCAATTTTTAAATAAATAAATACATTTTTTTTTATTAAATTAATTAAATTGTTTTTAAAAGTAAATAAAATTTTAATTAAATAAATAAAAAAAAACTATGAATTAAATAATTATATAAAAAACAGTAATTAATTAAACAAATCTTTTTAAAAAGTAATATTATTTTATATTTATGTTACAAAGAAAAAAAGGACATTTCAAAAACGAAATGAGACTTTAATATAGAAATAAATGCAAACTTAAAGGTAACTATGTTTTATTGCCTGCCAGTAACTATTAACGCACAGTGATTAAGGCCGTATTATATATACATATATATATATGTGAACGTTAAAAAGTTGAGGTCAGTTTGTTGTGATGAGCTTAGAAAGAAACACATGAAAAATGTTTATTGAAATCTATCCCAACCGTGAAATTGACAATTTTCATGATGTAATCATTATGTCTTTTAGTAAATTAACTAAATAATTTATTTAATAATTAAACTTCTATAATTATTAAAAAAAAGCACGATTAAATAAAAAAGAAATTCAAAATTTTCCAAAAAAGAAATATTTTTTATTCATGAAAAATATTTTAACAGAAAAAATATTTTACAGTTTATTTAATTATTTACTACTTACAATAAATTACTAATAATATAAATAATAATATGTATACGTGACGCTCTACGAGAAAAGGGACCTTAAAGGCAAAAAAAATTTAGGTTATGTATGTTTAAAACTTTCACTAAACATAACCTAAAAATTTTTGCCTTTAAGGTCCCTTTTCTCGCGGAATGTCACATATTATATATAATAATAATAATAATAATAATAATAATAATAATAATAATAATAATAATAATAATAATAATAATAAAATTAATAATAGTAATAATAATAATAATAATATATAAAAATAATCTATACACATTTTAGACACCTGTTAATCGTATTTGCACATCTTAAATTCTAGAGTCCTTGACTGAAAGAGATTGATTCTCAGTCTTATCTGTGACGCAAGACTTTTTACAGACTGGGTAACATTTTAAATTTAAAACATTCACAAGCAGGAATTGTCTTTTATTTTTACTTGTTTTTTTTATATATATATAATTTTAGTTTTGTTTTACATTTATATAACATCGATTACATAATGTAAGTTTAAAAAAGATAAAAATAAATAAATTATGAATTAGAATTTTTTTAAAAATAAATTTTTGTAAATATTTTAGATATTTTGATTAATAAAATAAAAAATGTTCTATATGAGAATCGCTTACAGTAATAAGGACTAAGGTAACGCGTCGCAAAGAAATGGGACCTTAAAGGCAAAAAAAATTTGAGGTTATGTTTTTGAAATTTTTAAGTAAAATTACACAAAGAGGATCAATTTTAAATGAAAAAAAAACATTGTATCCAAAATAATCAATAGAAATTGATTTTTTAGAAACAAAAAGAAACTTTTAAAGGTAAAACCATTGTAAACATAACCTATAATTCGTTTGCTTCTAAAGTCCCCTTTTTTCACAAGGGGTCACAAATAGATTTAATTGAAGTGTGTGTAAGTGTTTATTTTGCTGAATTAAATTATAAAATGTGAAACAATAAAGCTTTCAACGATATATATATATATATATATATATATATATATATATATATATATATATGTCGCGCTGTTAGAATGACCCGAAGATCATCGTTATAAAATTAGCATGCATTGTAGAATGTTGCACAACGAGGTAAGTTTTCTGTTTACTGCTGAAAAGAGAGCGTCATGATACGAATGTAAATGGACTTTGTGTATATATATGTATACATGACTGAAAATGAGGTCCCCAATAAGATAACATCGGCTTTCATTTGTTACAGTATATATATATATACGTATATTCCGAAAAAAGATATTCAAGAGTCATTATGCCATTTATTCATTTAAGGCACTCTTTAATCTAAGATCAATCATCTGCAATTAACATTTTACAATCTCATTTTGCCTCATTATTGTAATAATAAGAAAAACTGTCAAAAAAAAACAATACTTATTTAATATATATATAGATCGGTTTAATTTTGTCGAATCTTTATTTCAAGTATACTTGTGGAATTTATTTTACAGTATTCTTGATTTTAGTATATCTCTTGTACTAAATTTTATTACGATTTGGTTTTCAATAAAAACAACCCCTTTGTTATATGATGGATAATTCTTCTGTTTTATATCCGCCATTTTGGATCCACCATTTTGAATTTTGAAAAACTGACATCAAATTCGTGTTCAGCGACCACAAAAACCCCCGAGTAATGATTTTAAGCGAATTCAGTCAATTTTAAATTTTTTTGGCCGCCATTTTGCAACCGCCATTTTGAATTTTTAAAAACCGACATCAAATTCGTAGTCAGCGACCCCAAAAACCCCTGAGAAACAAGTTTCAAGAGAATTCAATCGATTTGTACATTTTTACGCCATTTTGGATCCGTCATTTTGAATTTTTGAAAACAGACATCAAATTCGTAGTCAGCGGCACCAAAAACCTCCGAGTAATGAGTTTTAAGTGAATTCAGTGAAAATTGATGAAAATTCAGTATATGAATCTCGAAATCAAAAATATGTCTGCTTTTTATAAAGTTCTGTATTTTATATGAAATTTTTAAAAAAGGATTCAAGTTCTATATATGAATTAATATAATCTAAACCGGTATTAGTTTTTCAAATGGACGACAAAAAGAAGTAATATATACTCGAAATAGAAAAAAACGGAGGAATTTGCAGCATAACCATTGCCGCACAGATTATAAAATATTATTGAAGACATATTTTGCGAATAGAAATGAGATTGATCATAATATATATATATAGAAAAGAGGACTGACAAAAAATTAACGATCAAAAACAGTTAATAGTTATGGTAATAAGATAACTATAATTTATATCAGAGTCAAGGTAATGAGTAATTAATTATTAGTTATTAGATTGTTTCATCTTTGGCATATTTGTAGTATATTTGCATCTTGAGGGAAGCCTTAGTAATTCTATATAACATAAGCGTGCCAGTTGGAAGTAAATTTGCGGATGTGTGCAATTGCCATTTGCTGAGTATATATAAATATATGTCTCTTTTTATATATATGTATATATACGT